TTGCTCAAGATGTGGACACTCCACTCTGTTGGCAAAGCTTGCATGCTCCAGAAGCCAATTTTTTCTGGTTCAAGAAACCTACCAAGTTTACAGCTTGCAAAGCTGATGGAGCCTGTAATCTTCAGAGGCCAAAGAGCCCTTTATCAAGGAACTTATTATTCAAAGTCAGATACTCCATTAGAATTGCTGGAACTCGGAGCCAGGGAGTTTACAGGATACACAGCAGAGAAAGCCACAGGGGCAGGTACCCTGAAACATTGGTGTGAGATTATAACATATTGCAGCTTTTCCTTGACTCTCGGGTCAGTTTCTTTGGTCCATTGGTCCGCTTCCCATTTTTGATGGTCACAGTCCTTCTCTATATTAGCCATTTCCACCCTTTTGGTCCACTCTCCAAGTTCCAACTTCTATAACTATCTCAGCTCGTTTGAATTGTGTGGCTGCCTCATTGAGGGCTATGTCTTGGCCCTCATTTCCTTTAGCAAGTCTACTTATTTTTTACACTTCCTTTTGTTCTATCCTCACCCGAATAAACAAATAGAAAACAATAAAACAGTGACCTCTGACATTTTCCCCAGTTTCTTCACTTGAGAATCACTTAAAACTAATCTTCCAGTGCTTACAGTGTAAACTTCAGTTAAAATAGCAGGCTGGGTGTACATCCTGTCTGACAACACCATCGTAACAGACTGCTGGGGATACCGAGAGCTGGGAGCCACAGCATTACCCCCATGACGCAGCAAGGGTGAGCTTTGCTGGAGATTACATTGGGGCCTGGTTTACACTATGACTTTAATTCGGATTTAGCAGCGTTAAATCGAATTAACCCTGCACCCATCCACACAACAAAGCCATTTATTTCGAAATAAAGGGCTCTTAAAATGGATTTCTGTACTCCACCCCGACGAGCGGAGTAGCGCCAAAATCGATATTGTCATTTCGAATTAGGGATAGTGTGGCCGCAATTCAATGGTATTGGCCTCCGGGAGCTGTCCCACAGTGCACCATTGTGACCGCTCTGGACAGCAATCTGAACTCGGATGCACTGGCCAGGTAGACAAGAAAAGTCCCACGAACATCTGAATTTCATTTCCTGTTTGCCCAGCGTGGAGAGCACAGGTGACCACAGATAGCTCAGCTCATCAGCACAGGTAACCATGCAGGCCGATAATCGAAAAAGAGCACCAGCATGGACCGTACGGGAGGTACTGGATCTGATCGCTATATGGGGAGAGGATTCAGTGCTAGCAGAACTTCGTTCGAAAAGACAAAATGCCAAAACTTTTGAAAAAATCTCCAAGGGCATGATGGAGAGAGGCCACAATAGGGACTCAGATCAGTGCCGCGTGAAAGTCAAGGAGCTCAGACAAGCCTGCTGCTGAAGGTTAACAGGAAAACCACAGCAGTCAACGGGCTTTGCTTGGTATGTGGGAAAGGAGGGCGCAGAAACCGAAAGACAATGGCTTACCATGGCCGCATACAAGCTGAATTCTGTTGCCCGGACCTGCGTCTGTGATCTCTAACATCAAAGCCACAGGCACTCAATATTAAGATGGAAAATGCGACCTTGTACTGAAATCACATGTGCTATGTAATGTGAATAGTGTTGTTCACCATGAAAGAGTATAAGCATTGTTCTGTAAAATATATCATTTTAAAAACTTCTCTCCTTTTTTTCAACCCTCCCTCCAGCAGCTGCAAATTTTTCAAGCCTTCCTCCTCCGTCCTGAAGGTTCTCTCAGATAAGGTGGAGGAGAAAGAGGACGTGAGACGAGATGTTCATGGAAATAATGGAATGCACCTGCAGTGAAAGGGCTCATTTGAATGAGTGGAAGGACACGGTATCTAAATTTAGGAAAGATGCCAGTGAACGTGAGGTCATGAGGGACGCTCGAGATGAGAGGTGGCAGGCTGCAACGCCGGCGCTGCTGCGTGATCAAACGGACATGCTCCGGCGTCTGGTGGAGCTTCAGGAACGGCAGCAGGATAACAGACTGCCGCTGCAGCCACTGTATAACCTCCCTCTCCCCTCACCATGTTCCATATCCTCCTCACCCAGACGTGTAAGAACGCGGGGGAGGGGGAGGCTCCGTGCACCCTCCCACTCCACCCCAGTGGACACCCCAATCAAAAGGCTGTCATTATATTGAATTTTTTCAGTGGCCTTTTACTTCCCTCCTATCCTCCTCCCAAACCTAACCCTTGTCGGTTCTCTCCCTATGTTTATAATCAATTAATAAAGAATACATGAGTTTTAAATGATAGTGACTTTATTTCCTTTGAAAGCAAGCTGGGGGAAGGGGGCGGGTGGGTTCCTTACAGAGAATGAGTCAATAAAGGGGGCGGGTTTTCATGAAGGAGAAACAAACAGAACTTTCACACTGTTGCCTGGCCAGTCATGAAACTGGTTTTCAAAGCTTCTCTGATGCACAGCGCTTCCTGGTGTGCTCTTCTAATTGCCCTTGTGTCTGGCTGTGCATAATCAGCAGCCAGGCTATTTGCCTCAGCCTTCCACCCCGCCATAAAAGTCTCCCCCTTACTTTCACAGAGATTGTGGAGCACACAGCAAGCAGAAATAACAATGGGGATATTGGTTTGGCTGAGGTCTGAGCGAGTCAGTAACGAGCACCAGCGACCTTTTAAATGGCCAAATGCACATTCTACAATTCTGCACTTGCTCCATCTGTAGTAGAACAACTCCTGACTCCTGTCCAGGCTGCCTGTGTATGGCTTCATGAGCCATGGCATTAAGGGGTAGGCTGGGTCCCCAAGTATGACTATTGGCATTTCAACATCCCCAATGGTTATTTTCTGGTCCGGGAAGTAAGTCCCTTGCTGCAACCCTTTAAACAGAGTAGTGTTCCTGAAGACGCGAGCGTCATGGACGTGAGCGTCATGAACCCTTCCCAGCCAGCCCACGTTGATGTTGGTGAAATGTCCCTTGTGATCCACAAGTGCTTGCAGCACCATTGAAAAGTACCCCTTGCGGTTTATATACTGGGTACCCTGGTGCTCCGGTGCCAAGATAGGGATATGGGTTCCATCTATCGCCTCACCACAGTTAGGGAATCCCATTGCAGCAAAGCCATCCACTATGACCTGCACATTTCCCAGAGTCACTACCTTTCGTAGCAGCACCTCAGTGATTGCTTTGGCTACTTGCATCACAGTAGATTTGCCCACTCCAAATTGATTCCCAACTGACCGGTAGCTGCCTGGCATTGCAAGCTTCCACAGGGCTATCGCCACTCGCTTCTCAACTTTGAGGGCTGCTCTCATCTTGGTATTCTGGTGCTTCAGGGCAGGGGAAAGCAAGTCACAAAGTTCCAAGAAAGTGCCCTTACGCATGCGAAAATTTCGCAGCCACTAGGAATCGTCCCACACCTGCAACACTATGCGGTCCCACCAGTCTGTGCTCGTTTCCTGGGCCCAGAATCGGCGTTCCATGGCTATAACCTGCTCCATTAACAGCATGATCTCCAAAGCACCGGGTCTCGCGGTTTGATAGAATTCCATGTCCATATCCTCATCACTCTCGCCGCCGCGCTGCCGTAGCCTACTCCTCGCTACCTGGTTTTGCAGGTTCTGGTTCAGCATAAACTGCACAATAACGTGTGAGGTGTTTACAATGTTCATGACTGCTGTCTTGAGCTGAGCGGGCTCCATGCTTGCCGTAGTATGGTGTCTGCACTATTCACCCAGGAAGAAGGCGTGAAATGGTTGTCTGCCGTTGCTTCCCTGGAGAGGGGGGAGGATATACCCAGAACCACCCGCGACAATGTTTTTGGCCCCATAAGGCATTGGGATCTCAACCCAGAATTCCAATGGGTGGAGGAGACTGCGGGAACTATGGGATAGCTACCCACAGTGCAGTACTCCAGAAATCGACGCTAGCTCCGGTACATGGACGCACACCACCGAATTGATGTGCTTAGTGTGGCCGCATACATTCGACTTTATACAATCTGTTTCCAAAATTCGAATGATATAAATTCGGATTAATCCCGTAGTGTAGACATACCCTGTGTGTCAGCCCCCTGCCACACCAGTCTGTGTTCCTCATCAGCAAGCTCCCTCAGCCCAAACCTTGCCTAGCAGGTAACAATCAGTGAACTCCAGCCCCCAAGCTCCACAGAGAGGTTTCTCTGCAATGCACAGGTCCTATCACTGTTCACAGAAGGTATTAACTTCGCTGCACTTTTAAAGATTCAGTACATTACAGCTTATTAACTTAACTGGAGTAAACACACTCTTCAAGTATAGCTTACATGGAAGCAACAACAGTAACTGTGGCATACTGCAGTGAAGTAAAAAGTAAATGCTCTTTCATCTATAAGCATTACACATTTATGGCCCAGGATAGCAGGGTACCACCTGCAATATATGGGTTTAATTCCTGATCATGGTCTTCTAATCTCTGGATCAGCCGAGGCTGGAGGTGCTTCAAAGACCGTGCACATAGCCCCAGGGTGGGAGAAGGGCAGGAAGGGAGAGAGAAAGAAAAGAAAGCTTCATTGTCATTGAGCAGTGATACTTCTTTGGAAGTGAAATCACTCGCATGTAGACATCCAGCACAAAACCCACGCATCACTTAAATCCTCAAAATAAGGATTAAGTGGGACTTAAGTGGTGCATATACCTTGGGCTGGCCCTCTGTACTGAGGTGATCTTCACCCTGCCTGACTAAGGAGTCAGGTCAGCAGGTTGTGAAGGGGGTTCCCATCAAGTCAAGTTGATTGAAAGATGGTGGTCATAATTTAGGACCTCAAGCATGGCAGGGGATATACAGCAGGGAGAAGATTGTGGGTTACATGAATGAAGAGAACACCTGGGTAAAATGACAGTTTAAGTTCACTTTTTACATTTGCTCCTGACCGTGTAGATTGTAAGAGCTTTTGCACACACTCCTGGGTGTTTTAAAATGACCAGAGATATTGAAACAGTTTATCAATGCCAACTTTGGTTTAATGTGGACTATTTTCCAACCCTTCTGCTCTTACCTTGCTGGCCTTCAGTATGTTGATCTGTTCTTCATATACAGTGTCCCTATTTTTCTCCAGAAATCCATCAGACTGATACTCCACCTACCACACAGAGCAATGGAGAAACGGAATGGTGGTTAAACCCCTTAGAATGCGTCTACACTGCAATTAAACACCCCTGGCTGGCAACCATTAACTGAGTTGGGCTCCCACGGCTTGGGCTGTAATATGGTAGTGTAGACATTAAGGCTCATGCAGGAGCCTGGGTTCTGGGACTCTCCCAACTCTGGGGTCCCAGTGCTCAGGCTCCAGCATTGCAATTGGATAGTCCTGCAGCCCAACTCCAATGGGCCCAAGTCAGCTGACTCTGGCCAGCTGCAGGTGTTTAATTGCAGTATAGCCATATCCTCAGATGAGTCCGCATATCGCAAGTCTCTTGTTGTAATTACGATGTGTAATCTCTCATGGTTTTAGCCATCATATATATATTGCCATAAACTCATTTGAAAGGTGGTGCGTATGGCTGAATGAATGAGGGTAAAGTGTGAGGAAGGTCACACCAGTTTATCTTATTAATGTAAAATATTTGAGTGTAAGATACAAGACGTTACACAAGACTTAATTCAAACACTGTACATTACCCAGTTAGTCCCCCTTCAGGATCCAATCCTGTTCCCACTAAAGTCAATGGCAAAACTTCCAGGACTCTACCATTCATATGGCACTCTTTGGAAGACCCACTCTAGCATTCCTGGTAAGCCAGTGAATAACCACCCAAACCTCAGTCTCAAAAGATCTTGGAGATCTCTGGGCTAGGTCTCACCCAATCTCTCTTGCAAGTAAACTTTTTTGGAATTTAGAATCAGTTGTTTTTCAAGTAAGACCTGGCCAAAAAGCACTGGATGAGTCTTCCAAAGTTTGAGTAAAACCTATTTTTTTCTAATTAAAAATTCAAGCAAATTTCTAACTGTCACAGATCACACATGCAGAATTTGAAATGGGAATATCTTCTTTTGGAAGATTTGGTGAGAATGTGCTTAAAATAAGGTGTATAATGGAACTCGAGCCCCAGGCTTAACTGTGAATAGTGCAATTCACTCTCAAGTTAGTATAAAGAGACTCAGACTTTATTAAGGACAATAGACAGTACTTGGCTGTAGCATGAGTGTCACATGACTCCTTTATGCTTACTCAGACCTGCTTCTGATTTCCATTTTAAACACAGAGACAGATACATGGGTAACTACAACCTCTTCACAGATTCTTCCCTGCTCTGAGCAATATCCGTCAAATCATGTTTTAAATAAAGCTTGAGACCACTACTGGATGTTACAAACATCAGCCTCTAAGCTTTGGAAAATCAAAAGTTAGAGTTTTCTCCCTCACGGAGGAGGGAAAATGGTCCCAGTTCCACTCATATCTTACACCTGTGAAACATGAGATTTTTTTGGCACGCAAGAAAATGTCCTTGTTTCAATCTTTCCTGGATGTAGCAACCTCTACTAATGTTAATCTGAGCAGCTCTCTGAAGAAGGTTGTTTTGTTAAACCAGAAGACTCAACTATCCCGGATTAAAACTCAGTACAAAGTCTAAGACTGAGATTTAAAGTGCTTACTAAGAGATCTGGATGCCCAATTAAAATAAAATGGCAATTTGGCATTCAGATACCTTAGGCAACTTGGAAAGTCATCGCCTAAATAGCTAAATGTGGTTTTAAAAAAAGCTAACTGCTAATGCAAACCCCTTCCATCCTGGGTATTCATCCCAAACTCGTGTGTTTAATGTGCTGAGTGTTTAGTACACGCCCTGATACCTTATCTGCAAAGTGAACAACAATGAAGGAGGTATTGGACATTCGAGGTTTTTGGAAGTGCTGGCTGCTGGAATGTCTGTCATATAATTTCTGAGCCCAGTTCTGGTCAGTTCCTTTAGGAACCTAGAAAAAACAAAAGGAGGGGAAGAAAAAGGTTTACAATTATATCACATGAACTTTCAAAGGCATAGATACTACACACCTTCATGGTTTCATTACATTATTATTTTAAAAA